ATTATTATTATTATTATACAGTATTTTATAAAGCGCCAATAGTTCGCTCAGCGCTGTACATTACAAAGGGGACAGAACAATACCAATACAATGTGATACACGAGGGGTTCGAGGGCCCTGCTCTTTCGAGCTTACAATCTAGGAGGGAGGGGATGGTGGCACAGGAGGAGATAGCTGTGGAGGATGGAGTGGTAGGAAGAGTGGAGGAGGTCGGCAAGTTAGCAGGGGGTGGGGTAGGCTTCCCTGAAGAGATGGGTTTTCAGGGTGCGCCTAAAGGAGAGGAGAGTAGGTGATAATCTGATGGGTTGGGGCAGGGAGTTCCGGAGGATGGGTGACACCCTGGAGAAGTCCTGGAGGCGGGCATGGGAGGAGGAGACCAGGGAACTAGATAGAAGGAGGTCTTGTGAGGAGCGGAGTGTGCGTGCTGGGCGGTACTTGGATATTAGGTCAGTGATGTAGTTCGGGGCAGTATGGTGGACAGCTTTGTACGTCAGCGTTAGGATTTTGAATTTGATCTGTTGCGCAATCGGAAGCCAGTGGAGGGATTGGCAGAGGGGGGTGGCGGAAATGGAGCGGTTGGAAAGGTGAATGAGTCTGGCAGCCGTATTCAGGATCGACTGAAGCAGGGATAGCCAGCGGCGAGGCAGGCCAGTGAGGAGGGAGTTGCAGTAGTCGAGTCGTGATATGGTGAGAGAGTGGATGAGCTGTATAGTGGTTTCTGGAGTTAGGAACGTGCGGATTTTGGCAATGTTGCTGCAATGTTGCGGAGGTGGAGTCTGCACGAGTTTGTTAAAGATTGGACTTGGGGCTGGAAGGATAGGTTGGAGTCCAGAATGACACCCAGTACTCTGGCCTGCAGGGCGGGTTTGATGGTAGCGTTGTTGGATGTGACGGAGAAATCAATGGGGGGTGGTGTCCGGGTTGGGGGGAAGACAAGAAACTCGGTTTTGGAGAGGTTCAATTTAAGGAAGTGGAGCGACATCCAGTCTGATATGTCGCTCAGTAAGTGTGTGATTCGGGCTGAGACCAAGGGGGTGAGGTGGGGGGTTGAGAGATAGATTTGTGTGTCGTCGGAATAGAGGTGGTAGTTGAAGCCGTGAGAGTGTATGAGTTGGCCAAGGGAGGAGGTATAGATGGAGAAGAGAAGGGGCCCAAGGACAGAGCCTTGAGGGACCCCAACAGAGAGGGGGGAGTGAGGGGGAGGTGGTAGCATTATAGGTAACGCTGAAGGAGCGTTGTGACAGGTAGGATGAGAGCCAGGAGAGAGCATAGAGTCTTATAGAGACTATGCTATGAATGTTACCCTTGTTGAGCCACAGAGACATTGCTGTGAAGGGCACATGCTTGTGCAACTTTCATAATCTGTTTTGTATTATTCTTAAGTGTATGCATTCTCTTTGCCATCCTGAACCTATTGTGCATTATTGCTTCTAACTTTGCACATCTTTGGTAAACTGCAAGTTACAGTTACTCCCTCTCTGGTCCTGAAGCTGGTTTCCTATTCAGTTAAACTTGGTTTCTATGAACAGGATCTGCCATGGAAAATGACAGAATAGATGGCTCATCCCCAGGCAGGGCTATCCACATTGAAGTGCAGAAAGGAACACAGGGTAAAGAAGGAGAAGAGAAACCACCAAGGATGGCCAAGGAGTGAAAGGTTACTGTTCCTGTGCTGGGGTTGTCAAGAGTTGGCTGTCACCAGAGAGACTGCCCCAACTATGCACAGAGGAAGCCGTTAAACTACAGCATCCCACTGGCAGGAGGCAAGCAGAGGGGGGAAAAGAGGAATGACTCCCTGACCAAGAACTGAAAATGTGATGGTCGACTGTCTTTTTGTGCATTGATGTTTTGATACACAAGAGACTGAGTTCCTCCTTGATACCGGCTCACATGGCACCATGCTGCCAGACCCGCTGTGGCAGTGATCCAGCGATCTGAGCCCAGATAAGCCATGGATAACAGAAGGGAGCAAAGTGGAATGTCTCCCCATGTAAGAAATAAAAATGTAGTGGTCAACTGTCCTGCTGTGCATGGATGCTATGACAGCCAAGAGAGTGAGTGCCTCTTTGATACTAGCTTGCGTGTCACTATGTTGTCGCAGCGATGCTGCAGCAAACTTTTTTTTAGAAGAAAATAAGCCCAGATAAGCCATGGATCTCCTTGACAGCTGGTAATAAGATCCCCATAGAAGTAGTTGGGAATACCTGAATGAAAGTGGGGTTGTGGGGGCAGGATATCAATCAGAAGGGCTTAGTGATTACATGTGCCCCCTAGAGGGGGGGGGGGGTAACCACAGTTTACACTGGGCACGAATGTTATCACGGGACTGAGGACTAAGGAAATGAAGTAAGTGCTGCACACTCTGGAAGCCTTGGAGGGCCCTGACACAGGCACACTAGACAACTGAGAAAAAGCTGACATCATCAGGGTTCCTTTGCGATACTACCTAATCAATAATGTATACTCCCCCATAAATGTTGACTCTCACCATGGATTGCAAAGCTGTCCTGTCTTTGTGAAATCCTTGTCCTGTTAACCAGAACCCTCACAGTGGTCCAGCGAGGTACAGAACTAGTTAGAATCTGTAACACTCCCAGGGACAGCAGTGGCAGAACTAGATGTGATGGCGCCAAGGTGGGGTACATAGAGCTCCAACAGTTTCATGGTTATCGCTACATTGCTAGAAATATGACTAAGCAGTTGTCAGGAAAAAACAAGAGTGGGTGCTGAGGGACTGACACCCACTCGGAAGCAGAAAGGTGGATAAGTGGTCAGACATGCTCTCACAAGGGGACCATGACCTGGGCTGTAGCAGAGGGAATGAGCATGAAATATCCACAGGGGAAAGCCCCCCTCCACCCGTCCAGGAGAGATCTCAAAGCATACCTTCACACCTCTACTAGACATCAAGAAGAAGCTAGAACAGATGATGCAGCAAAGTGTTATTCAGGAATGTAAAAGCTCATGGCTGACTCCAATATTTTTTGTGATGAAGAAGCATGGCACTCTCAGTTTTTGTACACACTATATGGGGTTGATTTACTAAAACTGGAAAGTGCAAGATCTGGAGCAGCTCTGCTGAGAAATGAATCAGCTTCCAAGTTTTCTGTATCAAAGCTTAGTTGAACAAGCTGAAATTAGACGCTGATTGGCTACCATACACGGTTGCACCAGATTTTGCATCCTCCAGTTTTAGTAAATCAACCTCTATGTGTCTGAATGCTGTTACCACAAGGGACTCTTATTTTCCACAGCCCAAGGAATCCCTTGCTTCCCTAGGACAGGCCAAATTGTTCTCCAGGTGGGTATTGGCAGATCCCCGTAGGCAAGGTAGCCTGGCAAAAGATTACTTTCATCAAACCCATGGGGTTGTGCCAGCTCAAAAAGATGTCCTTTGGGATGTCCTGATCAAAGCACGCACCATATTCCAGAGGACAATGGAACACTGCCTTTAGGACCTGTATAGTATCTTCATCTATCTAGCTATTCAGGGACCATTCTGCACTTGAGGATTTTTTGTGTTGCCCTGGTTTTAGCAGTATGGCCTTAAACGTAAACCCATAAAGTGCACACTGGAGTAGGGGTGCCCACTACAGTGATTTCCAGCTTCTAGAGGGATCCCAGAGGTGTGGTATATGCTGGACCAATATAGCTATGTACAAAAATTCATACCTGGAATTCTACTTTAATTTTAATAGCGATCGCACCTCACACGTAAGGTATTGTTAGGAACGTCAGAGTGAGAGCAATAATTCTAGCACTAGACCTCCTGTTTAACTCTAAACTGGCAACCTGTAAAGGCTTCTAAAGCATTGCCTATGGATAATTTAATGTACTGTAGTTTGTCACCATTCCATGGTTGTGTGCAATATTAACGTGTGACATGCTAGGTATCTGTTTACTCAACGGAAACAAAAAAGTGTGGCGGAGAGCAGCGGGAGTCATTAGCTCCCGCTGCTGTCAGTCAAATCCTGTGCCAAGGGATCAGGGGGCAAGGCCGAGCCTTGCTTTCTGTGTCAATGAATACAGAAAGCTGAACTCAGGATTGAGCACACAGGTGTGCCACGATAGGAAGCGGCTTCCTATTGTGGCACATCAAGAAGAGGAGCCAGGAGCCCAGGTGGGGGACTCTAGAAGAAGAGGTTCAGAGCCACTCTGTGCAATTCCATTACACAGAGTAGGTAAGTATAAACATGTTTTAAAAAAGTACAATTTTAGACTTTAGAATCACCTAAAAGTGTATTTTTTCCTGAAAATTTGGGTTTGATAAACCGCTGCGCAAATATTGTGTAACCTAAAGAATGGCAACTAACACCATTATTCTCCTGAGCCTCTGCTTAAAGTTATATGTTTGGGGGTTCTAAGTAATTTTCTAGCAAAAAATACAGTTTTTTTGCGTATGTGAGAAATGTCAAAATTGGCCTGGTTTTGAATTGGTTAAAAAGGAAAAAGCCTCTTCTTTGTCACATATGCAAAACTTGATTTTTCATCTTGGATAGAGTAATGAAGGGTTATAACACCTGTAATTTTTTTTTGCCACCTGTGTCCCATTGGGAAGATTTACCTTCACTGTTCAATAGCCAAAATAAGAAGTGAGAAAATCTCTGCAAATTAAGGGAATTCCTTGGGGACCCCCCCCCAGTCATCAGAACTAGTTTCCCCATGGGAAGATTTCCCCTTTTTAACTTTTTTGGGGACAACCCAAAATTTGGAGTTTTCCTTTACTTTCACTTTCAACGATAATGGTAAACAGGACAAATAGAGAGAATGAATCTCCCTAACAGTCACAGACTGCGATCATAACCTGACATGTGTCCCTTTCCACTGTGTGCAAAACTAAAAAAAAATGATTTGCCTTTAGTTATACACTATATTGCCAAAAGTATTGGGACACCCCTCCAAATCATTGGATTCAGGTGTTCCAATCACCTCCATGGCCACAGGTGTATAAAATCAAGCACCTAGGCATGCCGACTGCTTCTACAATCATATGTGAAAGAATGAGTCGCTCTCAGGAGGTCAGTGAATTCAAGTGTGGTACCGTGATAGGTTGCCATCTGTGCAATAAGTCCATCTGTGAAATTTCCTTGCTACTAAATATTCTACAGTCAACTGTTAGTGGTATTATAACAAAGTGGAAACAAATGGGAATACCAGCAAGTCAGCCACGAAGTGGTAGGCCATGTAAAATGACAGAGTGGGGTCAGCGCATGCTGAAGCGCACAGAGTCAATAGCTAAAGACCTCCAAACTTCATGTCACCTACAGATTAGCACAACAGTGCATAGAGAGTAGTGATGGGCTGAACACCCCCTGTTCAATTCACAGTCAAACATTTGACCCTACCCAAAGTTCGACCGTGAACTCCGAACAGGAACAATTTACTGAGCAGTATCTTACCGAATATGAGTATGCAGTAAGATACCGCTCAGTTACTAAAATACTGCATGAGTTATATTATTAAGTCATGCGGTATTTCAGTAGTGAAACATTCATTCATGCTTCAGCTGTCATTGGGGTTCCCTGCTGACAGCTGAATGTCAAAGGAATTGTCGGCGTTGTCCGACAAAAAATTTTTTCTAAAAATGGTGAGGGGTTCCCCCTCCCATCCATACCAAGCCCTTTGGGTCTGGTATGGATATTGAGGGGAACCCCGCACACCAACATTTTTAAAAAAATGGCTTGGGCCCCCCTAAAATGCATACCAGACCCTTATCCAAGCATGCAGCCCGACAGGTCAGGAAAGGGGGGGGCGAGCGAGTGCCCCCCTCTCCTGAACCATACCAGGTCACATGCCCTCAACATGGGGGGGTGCTTTGGAGCAGGGGGCACTGAGCGCTGAGCAAACTGTTGGCGCTATATACATTCTGCATAATAATAATAATGTTGATGGGGATAAGAGCTTCTTCCCCACAACCCTGGCCAGTAGTTGTGGGGGTCTGCGGGCAGGGGGTTTATTGGAATCTGGGAACCCCCTTTAACAAGGTGGCCCCCAGATCCCCCCCCCCATGTGAATGAGTATGCAGTACATGGTACCGCTACCCATTCACAAAAAAATAATAATAATATTATTAAAATATTCAGGAGACAGTCTTGACAAGTCCTTTATTAAATTACAAAAAAAAAAATGTTCCCCCAAAGTAGATCCAACATCAATCACGATGCCTGACACCACTGCCGACCCGAAAAAAGAAAAAAAAAAATGCGCTCAGCCCTTGATGCTGGCTCCCTCCGTCTGACAGCTGAACCGCGATGACCGTTCTTAAATAGGTTGATGACGTCACAAGGGGGCGAGATCACCCCTGCCCACTTGTGACATCATCATGCCCTGTGATTAGCCAAAGCATTGCACCTGACCTGTAGTCAGGTGCAATGCTTTGGCCAGTCACAATGCACTGTCAGGGTGCAGTGCATTGTGGGGCGCGGCAGGCGAACAGTGAACATGCAGCCCAACACTAGTAGAGAGTTTCATGGAACGGGTTTCCATGGCTGAGCAGCTGCATCCAAGCCTTACATCACCAAGTGCAATGCAAGGCGACGGATGCAGTGGTGTAAAGCACGTCGCCACTGGACTCTAGAGCAATAGAGACGTGTTCTCTGGAGTGACGAATCACGCTTCACTGTCTGGCAATCTGATGGACGTGTCTGGGTTTTGCGGTTGCCAGGAGAACAGTACTTGCCTGACTGTATTGTGCCAAGTGTAAAGTTTGCTGGAGGGGGGATTATGGTGTGGGCTTGCTTTTCAGGGCTTGGGCTTGGCCTCATAGTTCCAGTGAAGGGAGCTCTTAAGGCGTCAGCATACCAAGACATTTTGGAGAATTTCATGCTCCCAACTTTGTGGGAACAGTTTGGGGATGGCCCCTTCCTGTTCCAACCTGACTTGCCCTGATGATGAGTCTTGATCTCAACCTGATAGAACACCTTTGAGATGAATTAGAGCAGAGACTGCGAGCCAGGCCTTCTCTTCCGACATCAGTGCCTGACCTCACAAACGCACTTCTGGAAGAATAGTCAAACATTCCCATAGACACACTCCTAAACTTTGTGGACAGCCTTCCCAGAAGAGTTGAAGCTGTTATAACTGCAAAGGGTGGGACAACTCAATATTGAACCCTACAGACTAAGACTGGGATGCCAATAAAGTTCATGTGTGTGTAAAAGGCAGTTGTCCCAATACTTTTGGCAATATAGTGTACTTTAAGTCGCCTCATTCTAGAAACGTACAGGTTTGTCCAAAATAAAGGTGAAGCACTTTTATTTTAATATATTAACAATGCTATACCTAATAAATAACCGCAAATTTCATGTCCGGGGCTGCATTTTAGGACCCGTATATTACCCAAGTTAAAGTGGCTCTAAAGGCTGACTTTTTTTACCTTCATGCTTGAAGGTAAGAAAACTTGTGTGTGCTGCTCCCCCCCCAATACTCTCCTGAGCTCCCTCTCGATCCAGTGATCTGCACGAGAGCCTCATCAGGTCTCTCATTTTTCAGTGACTGAGACACAGCAGTGAAAGCCATTGGCTTCCACTTCTGTCAATCACAGCCAGTGAGCCAATGAGGAGAGAGCAGGGGATGGGGTTGGCGGGGCTCAGCCATTGCTGTATGTGTTTTATAGGTGCATAGAGCGGGGCTCGGTGACGCACACTCACCAGTGCTATTGGGGGCACTGGTCAAGGAGGAGGAGCCAGGAGCGCCGGTAGAGGACCTGAGAAGAGAAGCATCGGGGTTGCTCTGTGTAAAAAACCATTGCCCAGAGCAGGTAAGTATGATGTATTTGTTACTTAAAAAAAAAACAAAAAACACAAAGCTTTAATATCACTTTATTCACTACTGCTGTAGATTCTCCCCTCTCTTTACAAAAGTTTATATAGAGATCAGTATGACACAAGGCAAATTTGTGCTGTTTGTTGAAGACAGACTGTAGAATTTTAAAGGCTTATAAATACATATAAAGAGCGCCACTGAAGGCAAGTTGTTACCAGTGGGTGTTAGTGTATTTAAAGCTACTGTATGTTTCTCTTAATAACACACATAATTACATACAGAATCATACAGAATATACATGAGAGCAGCCAAATTTGCTCACTGCATATGCAGATACTGATTCCTGCTTAGAAGTGATGTACTGTGCTTGTTTCTAGCTGATCATCTTATTGCACCTGAAAATCTGCTAGTTAAGGCTCCATGCACACTAGCGTTTTTTTAAGCTCATAAAGCGCTGGATAAATAGTTTTTTTAGTAGCGTTTGGAAGCGCTTAGGAGCGTTAGCATTTTTTCTGCTGTAAAAACGCTCCAAAAAAACTCTACAAAAACAATTTTTTTCTGCTCCTATACACTGAAGTTTAAAAAAATGCTAATAGCCTAACGTAGTGTGCATAGACACAAAGGATAACACTATTTAGCTTCTAGGAGCAGAAAAAATACTAATAGCTTCTACGAGCTTAAAAAACGTTAGTGTGCAAGGAGCCTTAGAGTGAAGTAGAGAGTTTTTTATTTTCCATAAAATTTTGTGAAATTTCACAATTTTGGAAATATGCATTGGAGTCAAAGGGAAGGTGACATTTACTGTAGGTGTTTTTTGGTGTTTTACAAGAATTACATTTGTTTTAAATAATTTCTGAGGGTTGTGAAAGCTCCTTTCAACTATCTGGATGTGTTCTTTTGACAAAAAACTCTTTATTAGATTCATCATTTTACATTTCTTTCACAGAAAGAAAAAAACAGACAGTGGGGGGGAAAAAAGCAGAAAAACCACCCTAAGTACACCCCCAAAAACACACACACACTCTCTAAATAAGAATAGGTATAGTTTTTTTCAAGAATGACAAAATTTTGTCTCCCTTTGTCAAAAATTCATAGGTAGAGAAATCTGTAATCGCTGAAAGCACTCCACCTTTTTGTAATGTCTATCAAACAGGGTTGTTTGAAAACAACAGATCTATTTGCAGTTTCTAATGACATGAAACACTCTTTTTGACAAGGATTGTCACTGATTGCTGCTTTTTCTTTTGTTATTGGCAAGAAAAAGGTACCTTTACAGCCAAAATAATGTGTGATTAATATTTCCATTTATTTACACATGATAAGACAATGATAGGTCAGCTTAAACAAAAAATGTTTAAAAGATAATAAAATTGTGTGTTTACAACCCTCTTATTAGGCAGATTAATGAATTGGCAAGTTAGCATTTTAATTATATTCTGATTATATAGGAGAGGATTACATTTATAGGTTAATTACATTGTTAATTAAATTATGTTGGGTAATAGGTTGATCTGCTAATCTGTGTTTGATGTATCAGTTGATAGTTTCATTGCTTAGTGTATTAATGCATTATTAATCAAATGAACATATCACTATTTGAGTGTAAATTGATTTGTTTAATCTATTAATGGTTTTAGGTTATTATATATAGGCAAATTTATTATATAGTTCATTGACTTATTTGCTATATTAGCTTATGTGATTAGTTAATTGTATTGAGTACTGATTTCCTCATCATCAGTTAATTTGTTATTAATTGATTTGATTTATTTTTAGGGTAATATACTGAGTACTGTACAAGTATATATGAAGTTATTAAAGTGTATATATAGTTATTTTTTCTTTTCTTTTCTTTTCACTTCCTGTCTAAAGATGCAACACGAAATGAAGAGAAATCAATACAAAGTGAGGGTAATTTCCCTCTTAAACAGTTGTGAATAGAACAAATATCATCATTGGAAGTTTTACCCTTCACCTCCGGCAACAGCTGTAAAATTTAGCATTTCCCATCACTGGTCACCAGGAGAAATTGAGATGCTGACTCTCCCCAGGAGGCATAGTGATAGCAGTAGAAATCTGAGAGGGGTTTTAGGCTTTCCCCACTCTATCCTAAAGCAAAAGAGTTTTAGCTGATTGGTTAGTTGAGTTGGTGTCTGGGTGATTTCACATTATATATATAGCCAAACCTCCTATTAGTTTTGGATGGAGTGGGGAGGGATTAGAATCCCGTTTTAATGCTGTCGGGGGGCTCAGTTATTTATTTAAGGTGATTATATAGCGCCGTCAATTTACGCAGCGCTTTACACCTATACACCCTGTTCCAAATTATTATGCAAATTATATTTTTCTCATTTACTTAAATAATTGATGTAAATAACAGACAGCATAATTCTCATGTTATCAGCTATTAATCTCCCTAGTGGTCTGATTATGTCCATATTTCTGTGCTCAAAGCGGTACATTTTTTTGCATGGAAATAGGTATTTTTTTTATTGTAGGCCTGTAATTTTTAGGAATAACTCACTGAAATCTGTCCGAACAAGAATCTAGTAAACATCCCGGGTATGTTAAAATTTGAAACACTAAATCATAAATTATAATTTCATAAATAATCATAAAAAATAATAATATAATAATAAATTTAATTCAATAATATAATCAAACCAAAAACACTGAAATTTGAAATAGAGCGCCAAGTTCGCACATCACTGAGCTCAGTCGCAGAATCGTTTTCAGTGTCTGATAACGAATTTCCCCACGAAACGTTATCACTCAATTCTGCAAGTGGTTCTAATTTACTATTGTTGTTCTATAGCTGGTCTAAAACCGATTTTGACCTAAAGGGATGCTTTTTGGACGCCATGGACGTTTCTCAGTTTCCAGGCAGAAAGAAAATGCAGGCAGGGCGCAGGACAAAGCACTCGAGACAAAATGTATGTGAAATGGTTTGATACAGTAATGTTATACTATGTGATTTTAGTGTATTTAGTGAATGTCACTTTTTGTCATTTTCAAATTTCCCGCTGGTTCCGTCCCCCGTACGTCCCGAAGTCGCAGGGAACGGAACCCAGAAGACAGATGCCGGCATCCGCCAGATTACATTGCCGGAGACACTGCAGGAGGGACATCGTGGGAGCGCAGGACAGGGTAAGTGCAGAACAGATGCCGGAGCAGCGCCGCATGGTAAGCCCGAGTGTAGCCGGGGTTACTGCTTTTGGTACTGAAACTTCACCCTGAGCTACACTCGGGAATACCGTCAGGGAGGCTACGAGTACAATTCAAATTTTATTGAACAAACCTCCTAATGATAACAGTATTTTTTTTAAACATAAAACACTTGCAATGCACTGTTCCAAATTATTACACACAGTAAGTTTCAAAACACTTTATAGGTTGTAAAGAACTGAAAATTGTCATTTGTTGTGTTTGCAGCATATTTACTGAAATCAAAAGCTATTTCAATCAAACCTTTAACAACATTTTAACTTTTTAAACATTTTAACAGGTCACGTTACTTTTTAATAGGACCCCTTATTTGATAGCAGCTTCACAAGTCTTGCATCCATTGAACTTGTGAGTTTTTGGACAGTTTCTGCTTGAATTTGTTTTCAAGATGTCAGAATAGCCTCCCAGAGCTGCTGTTTGGATGTAAACTGCTTCCCACCGAAATAGATATTTTGCTTGAGGTTGCTCCAAAGGTTCTCAATAGGATTGAGGTCAGGGGAGGATGGAGGCCACACCATGATTTTCTCTCCTTTTATCCCCATAACAGCCATTGATGCAGAGGTATTCTTTGCAGCATGAGATGGTGCATTGTCATGCATGAAGATGATTTTATTACGGAAAGCATAGTTCTTCCTTCTGTACAGGGAAGAAAGTGGTCAGTCATAAACTCCACATACTTTGCAGAGGTCATCTTTACACCTTCGGGGGCTCTAAAGGGACCGACCCGCTCTGTTCCCATGATTCCGGCCCAAACCATGACTCCACCACTGCATTGCTGATGTCGCAGCCTTGTTGGAACAGGGTGGCCGTCCACCAACCATCCACTACTCTATCCATCTGGACCATCCAGGGTTGCACGGCACTCATCAGTGAAC